AATTGTGTGAAAAACAGGTGATATAATCACACCCTTGTTTGCTTGATGAAAATTTGTTTTAAAATTGATCCAGTTACATTGAAACAACAAACTACATTGTGTTGGGGGAAGTAGCTTTTCCTCTTCATTGTAAGATTATTTTAACTGTTAGACTAAAGGCAAGTTTTTAAGTTGATAACTCATAAAAATTATGTCGCTCCAACTGGCTTTACCATATTATTTTAAAGCCAGGAAGACCCCGAACCACGCATTGCTATACATTATTAATCATTTCTGGGCTGTCGAACCGTGACGTACCCTGATATGCCAGCTTGGCAGCTGAGCAGAGCAGTAGACAAAACATGAAGAAAATAATGTGTGTGGCTGTTGTTTTCGTGGTGTGTATCTAAAACAATTTGACATAACATTACACATTAAGACAAATATTATGGTTACTTTTACCGTCATAATAACATTTGTCCCTGATGGCAGCCTTTCTGCCTTAACCAACCTTGCATTTAACATCCTGAGGAGACATCCTGGCTGCACTAACATCTTCTAATACAACAGATCTCTAATCCATATCTATCTAACTAAAAAATTACCTAACACTTGTTTGCTTGATGAAAATTTGTTTTAAAATTGATCCAATTACATTGAACCAACAAACTACATTGCGTTGAGTATTTGAACAAAATATATTTATATCTTGCAAATAAAAAAACTCAAACTACAACTGCTCCTCAAATTATAAATAAAGAATCTGGCCATCACAGCAAAGCTAGGCAAATCTCCATAGACACAGTATAGTAACAGTCAAAAGCCAAGTAGCATGTCATGGAACTTTCCAAGAGACTAAGTTGTATATGAGTAAGCCCACATCAGTCATTTCCGAAAGACAAAAAAAACTACATTCTCTTTGGGCTAAAATATGTATTCCTTTAAACATCTTTGTTTTGTCAGCTTTCAAGACAAGATTTGAACATAGCAAAACTAATCTGAGAGAGAAACATTCTCAATTCAGCCGACTTCCAAATACAATGTCAAAAAGCGGCAGCATCCTCACCCTACTCATGCCTCTTTGATCTGACAGTTTTTATTGATGTAGCTGATTCTGCAAACATTTGCAGGGCGTTGTACATGACACATATGCTTAGCACATGGTTGTATAATTACCTGAATATGGGTCCTTCACAGTTGTACAAGGTATGCAAAACCCGTTAAACCCCGAATTTACACAGTTTACCAGATTCTTTGACTTTCCCTAGCCTTTTTGCGAAATATTTTGTTCAAATACTCAGCTGCAGTTGAAAAAAAAAATCTATTTGGAGCCACTTAATTTTAAAAATGGTTGCTATTTAAAATTTTGTATACATTAACTAGACAACATATAAAGTTGCTTTAAAATAATATGGTACAGCCAGTTGGAGCAACATAATTTTTATGAGTTATCAACTTAAAAACTTGCCTTTAGTCTAACAGTTAATAAGTAAGGGGTAATTAAACTAATCTTTGACTGAAGAGGAAAAGCTCCTTCCCCCAACGCAATGTAGATCTGATTGGTTAACCTTTCACCTATAACTGTCAAATTAATTCTGATGAAAACCAGTATCTATACTGTGTGTAAAAGCCTATGCCAGGGTGCTGAAAACAAGGCTCTGACCGATTATCGAACCTGCCAGAGGAGCTGGAACACATCAATGGGGAGAGAGATGTCTGGACTACCTTACTGAACCTGCTGCCACCATGACCCGACCCCGGATAAGCAGCAGAAAATGGATGAATGAATGGATGTGCTGTTTTTGTTGCAATAAAATAAATAAATAAATACTGCACTATTGCCATGACCTGTTTAATTATTCTTTGTTTAATCTAAATAATTTAAAGTTGGTATAATTTAATTTAAAAATGGGCTATTTACATTTTTTTTAAAAAGTAGCAGCCCCTGATCAGTCTCCCATCACTAAAACTTTATTCAAAAAAACATGTACAATATTTTATAATCGATTTACTGAAAACAGAAAGAGACACTACTTTCATGGCAGAGTTGACTTAAAGCTGCATTAACTAACTTCACCCTCTAATTTTCGACTGTTAAGGGCAAAGTGAGAGTCAAAACTAACTCGAGCAGTATCCCCTCCTCTTCTCCCTCCTCTTTGCCCCTCCTGCCCTGTCTCTGAAACTATGTCACATGTGGTCAGGGCAGCCTGAGTCAGTTGTGGCAGTCAGGTAGCACAGCAGTAATAACTGGCTCCAGATCTGATGTATAGGGAATATAGAGTCTGTGGTTTTTAGTGGCATTGCAGTGACACGATATTTAGAAGGAAAGCCACATCTATGTCAAATTTTAGTCCTTTGGATGTTTTTAAACAAGACTTTTTTTTTCTGTGAAAAAAAAATTACAGAGGAAAAACTGTTTTAAACATTACTTTAAAAGTTTACAGTTATGGTACTTTTTCATTTTGATTTTTTGATTTGATTTATTCTTTCAAGCATGTAAAACAGTTGATATGTCAACACATGTAATTTCACACATATCCAACAAATGCTAATCCATTATCAATTTACTTATACCTAGTACATGCTTGAACGGAGTAGGAAGAAGTTAGACTTATCTAGTCCTACCCCATGACATCATCTTACAACTTTTAAGTCCTAAGCAATATCTCTACAGAAATAATTCTCTTCTACACCACACAAGTAATATACTACAGAATTATTACAG